TTGAGTCACTATTAAAACATATAAAATAATTGAGTCAGACGCAATTATTTTTGAGGATTTTGGCAATTGAGTCAATAACAAAATAATTTACACCACATGTATAGTGTAGATCGAGTCAAATTTATAAAGCGATCAGGCATAATAATAGGAGCAATATGAAGACAAAGGGAGGAAGACAAGTAGCACTGCGAATCCTCGATTATTCTCGATATCTGGATTCTGAATTTTTAAAAGAGGTAATTTCTCGATACGTTACATCATTTACGTACGTATACAGTATTTACACTGACCGATACGTTTTATAGCCGAAATTAGAATTCTTATTTACAAAGAAGCATAGGCGCATAAATAGATTTCACGGGATTTCACAAGATCCTACAACTATGAATCATATCCTTGTTATGAGCTATCGACCTGTTGATTCAAAAGTTTATTTGCAAGCCAACTTTACGAAAATTACTTGGTTTAACAAACGAGAGATTTTGAATATTATCGCATTAAGAATTATGTCACTTCACAGGTGGAATATAATTCATCAAAATTTACATAGCGGTAATTTGTTAATGAAAACAACAGGACACGTTGAAATTGATTTGGGAGTTAATCAAACCACAAAAGGGTTAGATTGTCATGAAATTTACGGAATTATACCCTATATTGCGCCTGAGATTTTAAAAGGTGAATCATTTTCATTACAGTCAGACATATACAGTTTAGGAATGATTATGTGGGAACTTACGTCCGGTCGTCAGCCATTTTATAATAAAGCACATGATGAACATCTTATCCTATATACTGTATATGGGATGGATTGCGACCCGAGATTACTGAAGACACACCCGATTACTGGAAGCAATTGATGCAAAGATGTTGGGGTTCAAATCCTTTAAATCGACCCGGAATAGAAATAATAGATCAAGCCACAAAAAAATTCTATATGAATGATTATCAGCAATTTCAAAATGCAGAAGAAAAACGAAAGCAAATGATAGACTCTGGTACTTCATTTGTAAAGGAACCCGGACAGAATCATCCAAAATCAGTGTATCATGCCAGATCATTAAATATCATTATAGAAATTGCAAATGCAATTAAAAATTCGAGAGATTTGTTTAACTTTGCGAAACCTTCAGGTAACATTTTTTAATACACTAAAGATTAAACATTTAAACATCGCATCTATTAGTACTTTATAACATAAGGATTTAGCTTGGATCAACTATTTAAAAACTTTTAATATTTCAACATAACAGCTAGCGAAAATATATTGGAGCCTCCGAAAATTCAAGTAGAACCCCTAAGACCAAAAAACATCAGAAGCAGGTATTATCAAAAGGGGAGATGTTCCAATTGCAAATTATACAGAAGATATGCGGATGTGGACAAGAAAATTTGCAGGCTTTGTTCTTTTGCAGAATTATTTCCGAAAAGTAATAATGAAGAAATCAATAACTTCATCGAATAACCAAGCAAAAAGCATTTTAGAGTGGATACCGTATGAAGATTTTTCAAATATTGATTACATTGGAATTGGCGGATTTAGTAAGGTTTACAAAGCGACGTGGCACAAGGGACACATTAAACGTTGGAATTTATTAACTGGAGAAGTAGTTCGTTCTAAATCCGTGGAAGTAGCATTGAAAGTGCTCCATGATTCAACGGATATAAATTCAACCTTTCTAAATGAAGTATGCATCTTATTTTAATTAATATTTATTTTCTGTTCCATTTTGCTTACAAATAATTCATGTGATTTTATAGTTACAATTTTTACATTTATTTAAATCTAACGAATTGGAATATCGCCATATTGTTAAATGCTACGGAGTTTCACAGGATCCCGAAACCAAAAATTACATTTTTGTCATGCAATATGCAAATTACGGAAACTTGAGAAAACTCTTGGCAACCGAATTTAGTGACAGGGTAAATTGGAGCCTAAAAAAAAGGTTACCCTCGCACTCTTGGAATCTATCAAAGAGATTCATCGACAAAATTTAATACATAGGGATTTGCATAGTGGTAATATATTGGTATCTACAAGAAAAAAAAATGTTCACATTTCATTGATCAGTGATTTAGGGTTAAGCCAGCCTGTGAATAAAAAGTCCGAATCCATTCATGGAGTTATTCCTTATATGGCACCCGAGAATTTTGACGGAAAATATTTGACCCAATCTGATATATATAGTTTGGGTATGATTAGAGGTGCAGACATATTGAGGTAATTGAATTATAGTTTTTGTAGTGGAGGTTATAACTTTTGTAGTATTGACGTAAATCATAATATCTGTAGTAGGTAGTATTATGTATTATATGTTGTAATACTTGTAGTATATAATATAGTATG